TAACATGAGATTGTCCTATGGATCTATGACATCTGTTGGATCTCCTTTAGAGACACCAAGTGTTAAATTTGTACCAGCCTTATTGGTATCCAAATTAGTGATCCTCACTTTTAAATTACCGATCCGAGGACGAATCTTTCCAGGGGGGGGACGTGTCAGCCTGTCTACCGTAACTCCCTTACTTGCGGTAGCACTCACTGCGTCACTTCCGTGACGTCACTATAGCATGCCTATATAAGCACCCCGAGCAGACCTTCAGTCAGTTCTAGGCAGTCCCAGGCGAGACGTAGTAAGCCATCATCATGTAGTCCGCAGGACCATGCCAGACTCCGGCGTCGAGTAGCCTCCGTCGTTAGAGTAACCATCTAAAACCTACCTTGTGTACTTATCACCAAGCTTCCTTGTATTCCTATCTAGTTCGTAAATATATAACTAAGAAACTCGCCTCTCAATCAACCTGCCGCTTATTCGGACCCTAGCTAAAATACCTTGGACCCTCAACTCATAACCTAAGATCATCTGGTTATTAATCAATACTGAACATTGATATAATATTATCGGGCCAGTCAGAACAAACCTCAGCTCCTGACATATCCGAGATTTCCTCGTACTATAGAGTTTAACGAAAGGAAGGTTCAATGAACGGTGCTGACAATTGAAGGCTACGTTGCAAAAACTCCTAAACAAATGAAAACCTAACTAAAGCTCTCGACTCTCGAGTATATTGGAATTAATTAATTATATTCATGAATTAATGTAGTAATTTTCATTCAGTATATTAGAATTAATGTATTCGTCAGCGCCTCGGGGCCGAGGTGCGATAGCTGCGTATAACAGACTGCTACGCATGAGTACGTTACAAGATAGACTACATTGACGCCGTGACCATCGAACGTACGTCTAAGGCGCTTTGTGTTATAACGATCACCCGATTCACCTCTCACCTTGATGTGAGACAGCATTCCTTTGCTGTACGAAGATTATGTTTTCTTGTCACTGGGTTCACGGTCGCAGCATGTGAAATTGCTTTCTCAGTCTTCACATTCAGGAGCAAAGAAAAAACTTAAATGGCATTTCCCGAGCAAGGTTTCACTAATGCCTTTTTATTCTTCAAATGTTGCCGTTGGAACTTTTTTTAGTTGAATATTGTCTTGTTAGATCACAAACTTATAATAACGCCAACAGTATATTTTCTTAGAATACGTGTTGAAAGTTAAATTAAAGCCAAATTATACCGCCACGCACTCGAGTTTAACTTCGTCCGACACGATAGCACACATCCTACACCCACAGGAGCTCAGAGCGCACTGACTACAGCCACGGGTGACGGAACTGACGCAACAGCTCCGATTTTCGGCCGCACCTCGATCTCCGCAAGCTTCTTGTACACTGAATTCCAAATACAAAATGCGAAACGGACAACACTTAAAATAAAAAAATCACTCAGCTTTCCATTAAGAATACACAAACATAATAATGTGAAAAGATAAGTAGGTAAGAGATATTTAACCCGATGAGATGATCGGGTTAAACCAAATTTGAGACGAGCTGAGAAAGCGGACGGCTGTCGCACGGCACTCAAGGCATCCGATCCGCACTAACATGGGCTCACAGCCGTGACCTAAGCAATGAATACTGTAGTGCTCATTGCAGTGAACACTACAATGCTCACGGTAGTGCTTACTTAAATTCTCACTGTAGTAAATATTGCAAGGCTTACTGAAGTGCTCACTGTACTCAACACTACAATTGTAGTGCTGAGAGCTGTGCTAACTGCAGTGATCACTGCATGCATTACATAATGCGGTAATCTACTACTACTTTTCTACCGCCACCACTACTCCTGCTACTTGTCTATTGCCTCAACTGCGCTACAAATTTCTACTTCCTCATCTAAGCCGGCGTCCTACATCGCTGAGCAAAGTTAGTGTTCGTCTCCCGAGCACGCGGCATCATCACCCAGATTAATGGTAATGATTAATGGGTCATAACCGTTTGCCACAATGATAAGCCAAGTACCTGGGGAAGTGGTAACGAGTCGTTTACCTATAGTCATTAAGGTTAAGCAGGCCGCAAGCATTACCCCGAATTAGCGCTTCGTTAAGGAGAGAACTAATGAGGCTCTTCAACTCGTTACTGCCTGAGGCGAGACTTGTGTCCTCTCGTCCGTGATGATATTTTTAGACACGTCTGTCAACTTATTCGTAGTAATATTCATACGACACGTGCATCGTCTCATTCGTATTGTTATACTTACGACACGTGTGTCGTCTCATTTGTATTGTTATACTTACGACACTTGCATCGTCTCATTCGTATTGTTATACTTACGACACGTGTGTCGTCTCATTCGTAATAATATTCATACGACATGTGTCGTCTCATTTGTATTGTTATACTTACGACACGTGTGTCGTCTCATTTGTGTTGTTATACTTACGACATGTGTCATCTCATTTGTATTGTTATACTTACGACACTTGTGTCGTCTGATTCGTGATTTTATTCCTACGACACTTGTGTTGTCTGATTCGTGATTTTATTCCTACGACGCGTATTACGTCTAATCGTGATGTGGTACTTAAGACACCAGCGTCATCACTTGCATAATCTGTCGTAAATCGTTGAACTAAAATGATTTTATACTTCTTGCTTGGTACAAGCAAAAATCAATGACTGTTTAGACATACTTTTGGAGGTTAGAATGTTATAAGATATATCTATAGCTCACACAAACTTCAGTAGCAATGATAAGATACAGAGGCGCTACAAATCACCCAGCCATGATATTTCTCAAGCAAAATTATCTGCGATGGTCAATGATAATAGTTTAAAGAGCCGCAGAAATCATGTCGTCGATAAGAAACGTATTTTATATATACAACGAAAATAACATAGGATTGGGGGAAGCAAAGATGATTTTTACGGTCGAAATATAAAAGAAAAATATTACATTTCAAATATAAATGTAAATATCACTAAAGCCTACATAAGGCCATAACTGTGCATTCAGACGCAACACTATACACCTACATTAGCTTACGACTGTACGTGGTATATAGTGTACAACCTTGAAATTCAGGAGCAACTGTGTCCGTATAATCGGAACATTTACCATGACGAATAAAGATATTTGTAATAAGAAAATAGCTGATGCAATTCAACGAAATTCTGCCAAACAATTATTTTATTATTATCTTCAACACCGTTAGCTGTCGCCCGCTTCCAGCAACTGGTGCGCTGTTCCAGCAACTGGTGCGCTGTTCCAGCAACTGGTGCGCTGTTCCAGCAACTGGTGCGCTGTTCCAGCAACTGGTGCACTGTTCCAGCAGCTGGTGCACTGCTCCAGCCACTGCGCACTGCAGACCCCATAAGCATGCGCACTTCAGACCCCGTAAGTATGCGCACTGCATCCTTGAACTGCACCCAAGAACGGCGCATGAGGCGCGCAAGTCACGACGTGGGTTGCCTGCGCTGCGCACGGAGGCTTGGCATCGCCATGCGCGGCGGTTACCCGCGACACTCCCTTCCTATTCCTCACATGAATATTACACGCGCGTCTTCGGCGGCCACATCGGCGTCACATCACATCGGCGCGTCATCGGCGGTCAATGTATTACACGCACGTCTTCGGCGGCCACATCATACACATTTAAAATTCGGTATTGAGTTTTAGGCTGGAGTTAGGGTCTCATTTATATAAAGGGCCATATAAAGTCAATCATATCTCCATATACATCATATCTCCACAATACAAAGTTTCGCCATAGCCATTCCTGCAGCATACACAAGTCATGGCTAACGGTAAAATAAATATCCCGAATAAACGTCATAGTGTCAATGTTACGGATCAGATGGCAGAATAATGAGCTAGTAATTAGTAAACGCTCTACCCAATATAACGCTAAGATAACGGCTGATCTCTCACGGAACATTATGGGCATAGATATCGCAGGACATCGTGTTTTCTTATCTAATAATCTTTACTGAGGTTGATTAAATTCTCGCTGTCATGTAATCATTAAACCTCATCACTATTATGACGCAGAAAGAGAAACCAAATCTTCCTCGTATTTTAAGCTTTTTCACGAATATTGAACTAATTCACTCATTTTGTACGCAAGGTAAATTGATCCTGATATTATTGGGTATAAATCTGGCGAGACGCGCGGGACAGGTTTTGCGGGCACAGATCTACATGGAAGTGAAAGTGGACGAAACGAGACTGGAAAGTCCAGCACGAGTGACTCATGCAGCATTCCTGAGACTCTCGTGCCGACAAACCTGCATGATTTACTCTGAGCTACGTAAAGATTTTTCTCATGGAATTTTAATGAAGATTTTTTCGCAGCGGAGGCAGAATTGCAAGAAAAAATTTCGTTACACCATTTCTAGACAGCTCGGTTTTTTTTAGGACGGAGCCTAGAATCACAGTAAAATTTAAAAAGAATTTCTCACGTAGTAAGAGTTACATAAATCAGGAAAATATAGTGTTCAGAGCTACATCAATCAGAAAAACGAATGGGTTATATTTTCCAAATAGTGACACGTATATCTTCCCACCAGAGCATGAACATAAAGCGGACTTACACTGATACGACCTTTTGTCAGGCAAAAATGGGCTAAAATGACCCACACAAGTCCAAAAAGCTCACTGCTTTTCGGACAATGCCTCACTCATTTCTGCAAGCGCGGTAAGATATGATCTAATCGTTAAACCATGTCTACAAGCACATGTTTTTAGCACTGTAATGAACAAAAATTAAGTCAATTACCTACGCGTTAAAACATAATAAATAAAATTATCACTAAGGGTGGCCAGGTCATGTTAGCACTGTAATTATTAAAAATTAAGTCAATTACCTACATCTTAGAACATAATAAATAAAATTATCACTAAGGGCGGTCATTTTAGCACTGTAATTAATAAAAATTAAATCAATTACCCACATGTTAGAACATAATAAATAAAAATCACCACTATAAAGGCACACACTCACCCGGTCGGAAGCTTCAGTGAGCTCGAGCACCCGGAACTCGAGGAGGTCGGCCTGGTCTCTCGCCTCCTGCAGCTCCCCCTTGAGGTGTGCGTTCTCCGCCTTCAGGTCGTTTATGATGTTCTGTAGGTCTGCCGTGTGTGGCTCTGTGAATTCAAGTTCAATATTGAGCAATTTTTATACACTGTTGAAAAAAATATGTTCCGATTTTTATTTCAAAATTGATCAATTTTTCTACACAATTGAAGAATATGATACGATTTTTATTTCAAAATTGATCAATTTTTCTACACAATTAAGAATATGATACGATTTTTATTTCAATATTGATCAATTTTTCTACTCAGTTGAAAAATATGATACGATTTTTATTTCAAAATTGATCAATTTTTCTACACAATTGAAAAATATGATACGATTTTTATTTCAAAATTGATCAATTTTCTCCACAATTGAAAAAATATGACACGATTTTTATTTCAAAATTGATCAATTTTTCTACACAATTGAAAAATATGATAAGATTTTTATTTTAAAATTGATCAATTTTCTCCACAATTGAAAAATATGGCACGATTTTTATTTCAAAATTGATCAATTTTTCTACACAATTGAAGAATATGATACTATCTTCATTTCAAAATTGATCAATTTCTACAATTTGAAAATATGACAAGAAATTTATTCTCAGAACAATTACTAAGGATAAGAATCATAACCGTTGCACAAATGTTGATGTTCAAGGTCAGAACTCACTTTACCATAAGAGAGAATAAGGTATAGAAAAAATATGAATTTAAATCGTGAAAAAATGATTAGATTGAGTTAAAAATATACAGCATGGCATGCAAGCTTTAAACTTACAATATACACACACACAAAAGATGCTGGTAATTTCTATTAAAACAAGCGAAATTATCTTACTTGATAACAGCCTCAATTATACCAGTTTTCAGACACGCTATGATGTGCTAATATTTCTTACACGTCAAGTAATTCAACGTACACATGCCTATTCATTTCTTCCAAGTTACCTATTATTAGCAATTAAAATTAGCAATACTTAGATAATAATAATTAGATAGCAATTAAAAGCAACAGGTGAATATATTGTTGGGCGGCGACCCAACACAGACCTGGTCTGGGTCTGCTGGGGCGCAGCAGGGCCTCGAACACATTGTCCATAGACGCGCTCGACACATGGCCCAGACTCAACGGCTGATGGTCGTGGATCTCACGCTGAAACACAAAATCAATTTATGTTATTTCCATGATCGTTTCAAAGTTGTTCGTAATTATAATAATTACCGTTATTTTGATTAATGTGGAATTCTTTTTATTTCCTTGAATTTAATGCTAATGGTAAGTTTTTGGTTCAAATTACTGCACAATTAGAAGATAGGTCTTTCTGAAAATTGTTTAGGTCACCCACAGAACGTTACAGTTTTCTTTCTAACTCCTGGTAAAGTGCAGAAGAAAACGAGCTTAATCCCGACCACAGACTACACAAAATTTTCTTGGTTCAATTCAATTAATTTCTCAAAACTTATCACAAAAATATAGAATCTAACTTTTGATATACAAGTTACAAGACTGGATAATACAAATAATAATTATAAATAATATTTGTTCGTAATAAGTTAGCTGCGGAGACGGCAATGTAAATAACCTAAATGAAAAATTGAAACTCATGTTGATTTGATTGACATTTTTAGTACGAATGCAAAATGGACCATAAAAAATAATTCCATTATGACTACCTTCTCTAAATTAATCATTAATTTACCCATTCAAAACTAAAAACAAATAAACGACAAGTCAAAGATGTCTGAAATTTGTTTAAATTTCTGCTTCTAAATCGAAATTCGAACAAAGCTCTGGAACAAATTTATGCAAGTAAATTGTGAAATTAAATAAAGTAACTGTAATGAGGAACAATTACGCTGACCAACTTCGTCAGCTCACTGGCTGAGCAGAATTTACATGCACGAGCAAGGGGAAGAAGAGTGAGCAATAGGGGAAGCAGAGTGAGCAGAATGGGAAGCAGAGTGAGCAGGAGGGGAAACAGAGTGAGCAGGAAGGAGAGCAGAGTGAGCAGGAAGGGAAGCAGAGTGAGCAAGAGAGGGACGCAGAGTGAGCAGGAGGAGGGGAGCAGAGTGACCCGGAGGGAAGCAGAGTTAGCAAGAAAGGGACGATGAGTGAGCAGGAGGGAGAGCAGAGTGAGCAGGAAGGAGAGCAGAATGAGCAGGAGGGCAGTAGAGTGAGCAGGAAGGAGAGCAGAGTGAACAGAAGGGGGAGCAGAGTGAGCAGGAGGGGAACAGAGTGAGCAGGAGAGGGAGTAGAGTGAGCAGGAGGGGAGCAGAGTGAGCAAGAAAGGGACGATGAGTGAGCAGGAAGGAGAGAAAAGTGAGAAGAGTGAGCAGAGCAGCGGAGCGTGACGGCCGATAGGTCAAAGAGCGCGGTCATTCTCCTGGCCGGATACTGCACGTAGCGGTGCATGGAGTGCATGCACTGCACGTAGCGGTGCATGGAGTGCATGCACTGCACGTAGCGGTGCATGGAGTGCATGCACTGCACGTAGCGGTGCATGGAGTGCATGCACTGCACGTAGCCTGTCTCTTATACACATCTAGATGTGTATAAGAGACAGGCCATATTCTATTCCGCCAACTCTACTAAAGACAAGTTCGTTGTACGCTCATTTCGTTCCGGTAAGTACAGTCGCGTCTAATTCCGACCAGCCTTTGTGGCCCACGGATGCGCCAGAAAATCCTTCAAGCGCGATCACGACCGAGCGACGATCCTGCGATCTCTGAAAGAATTTTTGCGAGATCGTCGAGACATCGAGAACAAAGACTCCAAGGTTGATCGAACGGGGATCTTTTCCACATCCAATGGAAATATATTAGAAACAGAGTCATGGCACTAAAATGCACGCGTAAATATAGAATTTTGTTGGAGGATGATTGGAATCTCCAACGGCGAAGTGAGATGAAGAGAGGTGAGGGTTGCTTATAAGGAAGCGTGATGAAGGAGGAAGAGAAAACATCACTCTTGAGAAATAACATTGTTTTTAAGTTGATGACACCAATAACGGATGTGGTGGTCTTGCTGACACATATATCGTTCTTATACATGGTACAGAGCATGCACATGGCATGATACACAAGATGCACATGGCAGGACACACAACATGCACATGGCAGGACACACAACATGCACATGGCATGGCATGGCATGATAGACAACATGCACATGGCATGATAGATAACATGCACATGGCGTGAGACAACATCCACATGGCATGACACACAACATGCACATGGCACGACACACAACATGCACATAGCCATGTTACATGCACATGGCATGCACAAAATGCACATGACATGATACACAACACGCACATGACATGACACAACATGCACATGGCATGAGACAACATGCACATGGCACGACACACGCGACACGCGACACGATAGACATGCACATGACATGATACACAACATGCACATGGCACGACACAACATGCACATGGCATGACACAAAACATGCACATGGCATGACAAAACATGCACATGGCATGACACAACATGCACATGGCATGACACAACTTGCACATGGCATGACACAACATGCACATGGCATGACACAAAATATGCACATGACATGACACACAACATGCACATGGCATGACACACAACATGCACATGACATGGCACAACATGCACAGGGCCATGTTGCATGCACATGGCATGACACACAACATGCACATGGCATGACACAACATGCACATGACATGACACAACATGCACATGGCACGACACATAACATGCACATGGCATGACACTCAACATGCACATGGCATGACACTCAACATGTACATGGCACGACACACAACATGCACATGGCATGACACTCAACATACACATGGCACGACACACAACATGCACATGACATGACACAACATGCACATGGCATGTTACCACGTCCGGAAGAGGTGTGGGAGGGAAAGCTGCGTATTGAGCGCCTGATGCTGAGCAAGAAGCAGAATGGCAAGGCCGAGAGTCAGGCCATTCACATACACAATGAGTAGTGAATGCGACCCTAGTGTATGATTCGTGAATGTCTTGCACGCAATAAAATAATATTGGTCGAATACAATGACTGACACATTCATATTTCACTAATAACTACGGGTTTCGTGAGTGACTTTGAATGCGTGTTCGTGACTGGATATTTTATGGAGCTAATAATTTTCAGAAGGAAAAAGCAAAGCAGTAATAGCGTTTTGTCTCGACCTTGTTTTTTAAATATCGCGTACCAATTTAGGTCAGTTTACGCACTTGCACTTTTACTTGTACGCGTTTTTCACGGTTACGCCAATTGAACAGTAGAGAAAACCACAGCAAAGTTCGAGGACATAAACGGTACACTTTAGTGCACGGTGCTAATAACTTAATTTAATGTAACTCGCTCGTACACATTAATCATGTTGACCCTTAATACATTAAACTTTACCAAAATTTTATGCACTATAACGATTCTAATTTCTTGAATCTATGTGGTTAACTATCCCGAACAACGCCGGGTTTAGGAAAATTTATAAAGGGGGTTTAAAGTATAAAGGGTTTTTATAAAGCCTCTACGGAGGCTGTTGTGATTGTGGTGAAAGTTTGGGATCACCACATCGGTGTGGTGCCAAGGTACCACCAAGAGTACCACACAGTGCCACCATATGTACCACACACTGCCACCATATGTACCACACACTGCCACCATATGTACCACACACTACCACCATATGTACCACACACTACCACCATACGTACCACACACTACCACCATATGTACCACACAATACTACACATATGTATAGTGTATACCACACACTGAAGATGTAATGACTAATTATTGTTCACCTTCACCCTAATCACAGAGATGACGAGTTTCGTAGGATTAACACGTGAAGCATTCCAGCAGCTCCTTAGCCACTTAGCAGAGGTTAGGTCAGCGGAAGTAAGGGTATAGAAGAACTAAGGGCAGATGAGGGAAGCAGCAGAAGTAAGGGCAACAAACGGAAGACAATTATCACAACACCGTGCGTCTGATCAGCGGTAGCGTTTCATCACACTAATGGGCTAAACACATCAAACACAACACAAAAACCCTCATTATTCACAACACAAAACACAGGAGAAAGCGGCACTTCTTCGCACCATACAAACGATAGCTGCTGTATGATTGTGCCCTTCTTGTAGAAAAATACATGGGTTATATTGTCTCAATAGCGACACACTTGCTTAACAACAGCAAGAATAAAGAGCGGACATATAGCACTTTTCGTAGGGCAAAAAGTGCATCGCTATGGGACAAATTCTCATTCATTTTTCTGACTGTACAAACGAATCATGACACTTAGCCTTAAGCTTCCATGTGCTGAGACTCCCAAGAATTTAAAAGCAAAAGAAAGGCTAAGTTTTCACCATTGAAAAGTTAAAACCAGCTCCATCATCAGTTAAAATATGTTATAAAATACTACAGCCAAAAATACTAAAAAATGTGGTGAAAATACTACACTCTCAACAGTGAGAATCCTATTCTACACGAAAGAAATTAAACCCAACTAACGAGAAAACGACAATGGAACATAAGAATCTATCAATTCCCAATTATATATATACATATTATTCTTATAATATGACCGCAGGGTGTGCTGGAGGGTATGTACCCAGCTGCGTCAGGAAATGCCCGGGAGACTCTACGGCTCTGGGGCAAAAATTGACGGCTCCACCCGCAGGGGTAGTGGTGCAAATTTACGGCTCTCCTCCAGGGGGTGTGGAGGCAAATTTACGGCTCCCCCAGGTGGCGTGGGGCAAATTTACGGCTCCCCCAGGTGGCGTGGGGCAAATTTACGGCTCCCCCAGGTGGCGTGGGGCAAATTTACGGCTCGCCCAGGGGGTGTGGGGCAAATTTACGGCTCCCCCAGGTGGTGTGGGGGCAAATTTACGGCTCCCCCCAGGGGGCGTGGGGGGCAAATTTACGGCTCGCCCAGGGGGTGTGGGGCAAATTTACGGCTCCCCCCCAGGGGGTGTGGGGCAAATTTA